CCAGCAGCTGGCTATCCTGACAGACATGGTTTTCATCATTACCTCCAGGTAAATGTTGAAATAGCACTTTAAAATAGGCCACAACTACTTCCATAGCTTTTCCTATTATCCATAACTACAAGCCCTTCTGACTCTATATAAATCTAGACATGTGAGAAAACATCCTGAAATTAATCAAGAAACAAGTTACATTTCAACCTACCAAGTGCCCCAAGCCTGTAGTTGATCGTAACCACCACAACTTCATAGAAGGCAGCCATCACATGAGCAGGGAACAAATTGGATGCACCTCTCATGAACTCTCCTCCATGAATATAGAACATTACAGGGTACTTCTGGGGAAGTCCTGACTGAGTCTACAATAAAACATACATTACACTGGTGACATTTCAGGTTTTCATGGCAGTGATTATGAAGCTGGCCGTTTTCTGGGATGTTATGCCATGTAGTGTGGTAAAGTTCACTGGTGTTCCATAGGTACTTGTTGAGACTCAATGCCCTGATGAAAGAAGCAGAAAGTAATGAGATTCGCCCTTAAGATGAACGCAGCAAATAATTCTGAAATGTAGGTAAACTTCTACCAGACTACATTGTGCAACAACTCAGAATATGGAAAATTTATGCAAGAATGGCCAAAGGCACATCACTGGCCTGGGATCACATTAGTGCAACAAAGGCCTACATGATGTCACACATACACCTTTGGAATGTCACTGTTCTCCGAAGAATATACTTTTATAATCTTTCCACAGGTTTGTTGCAATTTTTTTCTGAGAATAATCATAGGAAATAAGGGGGTTACCTGGGACCTAAGCTGTAGTTACTTTGGTATCTCCTACACAGTGCTTCACAGAAGAAAATGATGAAGAAAAACTATTGTATGCTATTCTCTGAATTAAAATATGCATAAAAATAAAACCACTGAGAACAGAGAGTTAAAAATCATTGGGCTCAGGAAACCAAAATGTTATCTCTGCATACTAGTGATGGCATCTTCATATATGAACTGAAATGAAGCGTGTTCCTCTATGAATGACTTTTCAGTATTTGAGGCAACCAATAAAAGAACAGAGAATTTGGATTTATTATTTGATGCCCTGAAAACGATAAAACCAAGTTCAGTAGCCAGTGAGAGAGTATTTTCTATTTCAGGCAATTTTGTATCTAGAATAAGAACAAGATTAAGTAATTGTTCAGTGGACATTTTATGTTTTTTGAAATCATATTTCCCGAAGAAAAATACTAAATGAAATAAAAATTTATGATTTATATATTGTACGGATTTTAGTTATTTTAGTTTTTTATTTGGTTTTGTATGTAGTATATTTTATTTTGTTATATTTTTGTAGTTCCATAAATATTAAGTAAACTGAAATGTTTTAAAATAAGTATAAATATTTTTTACTGTTTTAATTATTTTTTTAAAAAATCGAAAACCGGTTTTTTGGAAATATTGGGATTCGAAAACCGGCTTTTTCAAAAGTCGGTTTTTGTATAAACCCTAGTTGACTACAGTGTCATAACAGAGATTCCTTAATGGCAGAGTACCTACAATTGGTGAAAATACATTGAGATAGAGACAATCTTCATCCATAGCTAGAATTCCTTTGGTGCCACCAATGTAGCGTGATGGCTGTGGACATGCTGGACCAAAATCTACTGCTTGGATCAGCTGTGCACCAGGGTGTCGGCGAGGGGGCTGCAAAAAGAACAAATATAAATTATAAGTAACTCAATGTTCGATCAAGTTCAGTCTCTGCAGAAAGGTTTTTATCTGTTTACTACTCACTTAAAATTATTTGTTGTCAGGACTTTTTCCATCATATGTTTTTAAAATTCACAACGTTTCAGAGGCTGGTTCTGTCTCCATCTTCAGGTGAGAGGTACCTACTCTGTTAGGTCCCTTAGAAAGAGCTAGTCTCTGTCACTGGACAATATAAATCATGCAATTATTCCATCTTTTATGTGGATTCAGAACTGGTCACTTATAGAGCTGTATGAGTGGTCTTACAATTTTATCATTTAAGTATTATAATCGACTAACAGAACCCGTACTTGGGTGGACAAGATGAAATAATTGCACGATTTATATTGTCCAGTGACAGAGACTAGCTCTTCCTAAGGGACCCAACAGAGTAGGTACCTCTCACCTGAAGATGGAGACAGAACCAGCCTCTGAAACGTTGTGAATTTTAAAAACAGACGATGGAAAAAGTCCTGACAACAAATAATTTTAAGTGTAAACTACCGTCGTCAAAACTCTTTAGAATTGAATGTTTATTAATCAGTTTGCTCCATTTAGTAATGCTCTCTCAACTGCATAGGTTAGTCAAAACACATGTTTATTAATGATGGTTAAAAGGAAATTATCATAGTCTACAATCTTCTATCCTAGTATCTGACTGATGGACTAAAGAAAACAAAGAGTTTCAGCCATGACAGCAATGTGCAGGCCACAAGTGCAATGTGGGACCACCTGAGTTTAGTTCAGTTGGAACTGTAATAAAGGATCCTGCACAATATAAAGTGCATGAGGATAAAACACTGGAAATTAATGTTCATGATGATGTGTTTTTTATTGGCAGTCCAGTACAGAATACCACACTTACTTAGATCTTGCAGTGAAGGCAATTATCCAAGAAAGAGATAAAAAATGTGCATATGGGCATTCAACTCTATATTGGTTTGGTTTTGTTCAGTCACACCAGTATTCCAGAGCTCGCTGTGTAGGATGTACATCAAATGTGGATGATCTTTCATCTGTCACATTATTTTCTTGTCTGTATTCACATGTCTGGATGCCTGTACTCCTTCAGTGTTTTTTTTCCTCTTACTTGATTGTTTTGCTTGAAGTTGCCCAGGTGCTGTACTCTATACAGGTTTAGTACTGAGCTTTAACTACATAATGCTCACAGCAAGATGCCAGTATATAGAAGGATATGGTAACCTTGCTTTGAGACAACTCTGGTGGCAGCACCGCCGATACCTAAGCCTGCCACTGGACACTGTCCCAAGCCACGGAAATAACTAAGGAGTGTTCATGTGCAAGCTGGTGTGAGGCAGAGCATGATCACATACACCGTGCACATGAATCAACCCAAGAAATAACATGATTTTAATTGCATTTAATATTGGAGAATTTCATGAAAACCTGATAAACCGGTTAAGTTTACATTTAGACTCGTAAATTCTAACCACTTTTAAACAAAAGCATACTTGTTTGAGCTTATGTCAAATAACTTTCAAAAATGCTTCATAACAAATTTTTTAGCTTACTTGAATAAATGTGAAAAATAAGTTGCACAAATAGATTTCAGCTTGGGTTTATAAACATTCATAATGGCATTAATGAATTAAAATTTATCATTATGACAAAAGATAACAACACATTCAGTTCAGTTTTCATTGTTTAGTTGGCAACACCTTGCTTTCTCCACGGTGTCTTCATGTCTTCCTCCGACCTGATTCTGGTCCTTCCAAGGAAACACTTCTCAGGGGGTTACCACACCAAAATTCTTTATGCATATCCTGTCTCCTCATTATACCTTATTCTAACAGTGTACAGTGGGAGCTTGCATAAATCAGAGTTTAGTATGTTGTTTCCTTTGAAACACTAATTAAAATTTAAACTGATAACGAATGTCCATGGAACAGGGTTCAAAATACTGAGTATTCACAATTTTATTTGGAAAAAAGTCAAGTACCTATACTTTTCTTTCTACAGTATACAGGCTCATATCTTGCACTACTGTAGATAAGCTTTATCTTTCAAACACTGAGTTTAAAAGCTGCAATAATTCAGTTACAGCCATTCAGTTTGCACAGAAATGTGTCCCTCTCAATCTCTATTATAGATGCTATCCCTTTTGTACAAAAGGCATCAAAATGTCACCCTGTAACACTGTAATTCCAATAGAGGCAGTGTCTAAAAAGGAAAATTGTCCTCATGCTTATGACTTGATAAGTTGAAGTACACAGTAATTGACCTTCAGTTTTCATAAGAGCAAGCATTTCCTTGACAAGATCACAAGTCAATGGGCACCTTTCTCCAGCTTCCTGTTGCTTCATACCTCTTAGGTCAAAACATTCTCATAAGCATCCTGTACTCAAATATTTTGTGTTCTTCCATCTACATCAGAAACCAGGTTTCACATCCAAACAAAACAACACATTATACATTTTAATCCTTACACTTTCAGATAGCGGACAGGAAAACGAAAGATTCTGAAGTGTATGGCAACAAGAATTCGCTGAATTTAATATATTAATTTCCTCGTTGGCACAATTTTGAATGAACTTAACACATTCTGTACGATTAATTAAGTATCTTTATGTTGTGGCTTTGTCCTGCAGATGGCATTTGCTTCTTTTATCAACTTCCTGTGTACTGTGTTTAAAGTAAATGACAAATGGGTGAACTGTTGCTTGAACATTATTCCAGTGGTATTCTTGAACTTCATCTGGCAATAAAGGAATTATTCTCAGCAAAAGTGCATAACACTATACATTCACCTGGTTCAATGGTAGATTTCAGTTCATTGAGAAATTTACTTTGCTGTGAAGCCAGAAAGGAATGTCATAAGAGCTGATAATTTATCTATTGAGACATCAAAGTCTTCACTGAACTTCATGTGACTCTCTGAACATGTCCAGTTCTCCTAAATGCTGTACCTTGTTCATAGCACAGTATTTAAAAACAAGAGCTATGACCTACCTTAAATCGGCCTTCCCTGATGGGCGGCATGGCGTACGGAATGCCCAAGAACACTGTGGCTGTGCCCAAGATCTTCTCGACAGGCGTAAGGCCGGGGCGGTACCCAGACTTGGGGTCTGGGTTGTCGTACAGATTCACTTTGAAGCCCTGCACCTTACTGAAGGAGCTTGTGGTGACATACACATAGCCATCCCTTTTGAACTGTTCCAGAGAGTCAGGACGCTGCTTCCCCTGCAAGTCAGGCCGCCATCTTGCCATGACTCCAGGCTGTGGCAGCCCAGTTGGCACCTTAACAGAAAACAGCAGTCACAATATGGCAACTTTCACCTGTGCTTCAGCACTGTGCTACAGACGTGTGTTGGGGATGTGGAGGTAATACTGATTGCATTCTATTTACTTCATCTGTGGATTATTTGATGGTACTTATGTTGCATGAAAGGGGAGAATACCTGTAAATGACAAATTAAAAAGCAAGCACTTGTGGTCTATTTTAGTATAGTGGTAAAATTCCAGAATATGTTTGGCGAAACAGAGTTAACCTATTGTACATCTTCAGCAGGTAAGTCTGTATCTTACTTCTGAAGCCAGGACCTCCTGAATACAAAACAAAAGTGATGACAACTGTGATGATTAGATACACACATTCTACACCTCATCACTTGATAGAGGTAAGTGGTCACCTTCATGATTGGGCCCTTACAACCCTAAAACAGAGGTCAAAGTGCCTAATGGGGTGGGCCCCAGGGTGCACACACAATGGAACCCAGAAATTCAGCTGATGGGATGTGACAAAACAATAGCAAAATGAATTTTGGACAATTGAGGTGGGAATAAGGTTCAACTGCAGAATTGGCAATTGCAGCAGACCCAATGGCAATGGGCCCTTTCGTTATTCAGGCTGAAATGAGTGCAACAGGAATTTCATAACTGCTGTATCTGAACAGAAGAGTTACAGGCATTGAGTGGAACATAAATTGTTGGGGCCAATATATCCAGAAAAACAGAAAATAAATACCAAGCAGGTTATACTCGTTTATTTTCTTGTGAAGCTGGGGTGAAAATCAATCGGAAGAACGCTACGCAACAGGGTGGGAAGTGTGCTTCTGGGCTGCTCTCCCAGGCCACTTGGTACAGAGCAGAACACACAAGCTTTGTCAAGCATATGTTACAGCCGAATGAAGTGGTTCAGGCCAGAAATCGGTGACCTGTCGGCTGAACGAGATGAGGAAAGATCAGTGAAGCGACATACTGGAATCCCTGGCCAGTGACAACCAGTTGCTATGGAAGATGCCGAAACGGGTGATGCGAGTTCCTACTCCTTCGCCACCCTTTCAGGTGTCGGGAGGACTTGCTCTCTGGTTCCGTGTAAGCGGAAGCCTTGAGGTTCGGTTTCAGCTGGTGGACGACCCGTCGGACCCGGTAGTTACTGACATGGTTAATGAGGCGTTGCGCTCATACTAGGAAGTCCCCGCAAATAAACCGAAATTAAAAAGTCCCTCTGAGGTCCTTCAGGCCATCGAGGGACTCAGGGTTGACAAGGCTCCTGGCCGAAACAGGGTCCTGAAACATCTAACTAAACGAGCGATGACGTTTCTCACGAAAGTGTTTAACGCAGTCCTGTGTAGGCAGTACTTCCCAGCAGCACGGAACCACGTCTGCGCTTGCGTATGACTCTTCCTTAAGCTTTTTTTTTTGTTGGTTGGTTCAGGCCAGACTAGTAATGGCTAAACGGTAAAACGTGATAACACTGATCTGTTCTGATATAAAACTCTACAATCGCTGCCAAGTTGGAACTGAAAGTTAAGGTAGAAGGCTGTCCCCACCCAGCTATTGTGATTCGTTGTTCTGTGTCCCAGCGAAGGTCAAACTTCATACAAAGAGACGGTGTAGTGTAACATCGTATTTTACATGCGCTCACGCAGATTGGCAGAATGATTTTCTTGATGTGAGTAAAACTTGACATACCGCGCAGACTTACTTGTAATGAGAATAGAAATACGAAGAATGTTGTAAGACTAGTTCAGTGGCTTGAAAATCAGTTGCGAGTGGCAACTTAGGAAATGGGCGTCGGTCCAGGGCTTCGCGCCCATAGCGACCTCAAGTGCCTCACACCTGTATTCGTAGGTATCGGAATTGCTTTTTCTCCGTTTAAATTGCTGTAGTTTGAGGAAACTTTTGTCTGAGTCCGACAACAATGACAAAGGAATTTAAAAAGTTTTCGATAAAGGCCTATGGAAAGTAAACGACAATTTTAGCGCCTCCCACAAACAGCCAATCTGCTATAAAATGACATACGAATTCCATAGGCCACTTGTTGCTGACCGACACCGAAAATTCACGTTTCTCTTCATGTTCACCTGAACGACTTCGTAAATAATAAGAGCCTGTGCCCTTACGGTTAGCAACTTCAGAGATTACATGGCAAGCGGTATGACAAACGTCCACATATGCTTAACAATGGATGGCAGACTATTTAAAAACAGAAGCGTAAAAAGTTTTCAACGTGCACCCACTCTTGTCTACTGTACTGTTATTAAATTAATGAAAACTGCAATCCAATTTAAGTAGTTCATACTACAACCACTATCGCTAATCACTAAAATGCCTGACACAGGTTTTAAACGTTTCTTCTTTAATGATTCATTTTCTGTGAAACTGACTGTTGAGAGAATAACTTAGTTCCAGATTGACGGCCTTGACTTGGTCTCTGTAGTTCTTACATACACAACATTGAAATTGTGGGTGTATATATCCGCCTGTAGCTCGAGAACGGATCCTCAAATGTGGCATGCATATTTACTGAAACCAGAAAGAGATTTTGAACAGGTCTTAACAACGAAAAAGTATCCTGAACTCTAATCCTGGTGAGGGTGGTTTCTGTAGCCGCAAAACTAAGGACGAGCCATGACCCAATCTGTTTGCTTCGACAACAGCATTTCTGGAATAACGGATACAACCCTGAAAAACTGTCCCTAGGTTCAAGTCCCCTGAAGACCTTTTAGGGATAATTTTTCATATAACTTTCGAATGATTATGCCTAAGAAAAGTTTTCGGGGAAGAAAAATTGACAAGAAATGCAAATGTGGAATTTCCCCGAAGTAACACTGCTGCCACTCTGCTAGTCTTACAAAAAAAAATTGTTTATACACTGGTGTAATCTCGAACGCAAATTCCCCGTTACTCGCTGTGTAACTTCGCAGGTATAGCTACATTGTCATCTCCAATGTTCTGCAATCAATGCACAGTCATCGGTGGTGGAGCTAGAGGGGATTTTCTGCTGCCCACAATTTGAACATTTAAATCTTTGTGTACGATTCGACGTACGGTTCGGTCGAATATCCTTGAAGCATCTACTCTTACCGTGTTCAATATTGTATGGAGTTCTGAAGGTAACCGTTTTACCTGGACTTTTTTTTACCCAGAACCAAGACGGTTTCGTCAATGGCCCTAGGACCATCACCGATGTGAGAAGAAACTGCAGCAATGCCGGTGGAGATGCACGGCGCGTAACGGGAAATTTGCATTCCAGAGTACAATGTATACAGAAGAAAAGAAGTCATTCTAGTGACAAAGTTTTTAAAAGTGTGTATAAAATGCTTTCTATTGTACTTCATCTTGTTTCAAAAGACAAGGTAAGAAATTATTTCTGTTGGAGTTATTTCAAAACCGTTGGGTTTCTCTGCCACACCCAGTATTATTTTGTAATAAGGAAATTTGTGTAAAATGGCTCAGATTAGGACTTCATATAAAGAGCAATCTGTAAAAACGTTGTGAAATTTAAATGCCAGAAAATTATTATGGCCCGTGATCCCAGTTTTTGATTATATTTTTATTTTTGGTAACATTTTCCTCATGGTGATCAAAACTACCACGTGTCAGTGAGTGTCCATTATATATTTCAGTTTTGAATTTAAATATTACAAAGCACTTTGTTAGAAATCAGTCCTGAACACAATTATAAGGTATAAAAAGTTAAAAATGGATTATTTGGGGGCATTCAGTTCAGTTCCAGACTTGAAACAGCATGTGACTTTACCATCACACCTTCCAAATTGCTCCAAACAAGATCCAGTAGTTGTAGTAGTAGACATGATGCCTGAACATCTAAACTGACCACAGACAAAACAGGTGCCCATAATAAACATTGTCAGGGTGTGATACAGCCACCGACTATTGCTACATCCAACTGCTTCTAAAGAGTCCTAATCATCACCAGAACATCACATTATCTGTTAAGCAAACAAACTTTATCAGCAGTCTACTGAGGGAATCTCTTACCTTCACAGTCTCTTATGTGTCAATGTGACCTACGTCATAATATGAAATACCTAGAGAGTAAATAATCTCATTTGTCACAGAGCAGCTAGGGCCTGGGCAACCATGGATGACTGACCAGCCCAACAGCTGCAAGTTCAGTTATAATACCAAAGTGGTAGATAATATTAGGGTCAGTATTGCGGTGTGGTGCAAGATGCATGAATAAGTTTCAATTATGCATGTGTAATATGTTGAAAAGGGATCTTTCATGGTCTGCTTTATCCCCTGTATTCTGTGGTCATCCCCTTCCTGTTAAGGTCTTAGTGTAGGCTGCATTTTACAACACTCCAGCTGACAATTCTCTGCAGATCTGTGACAATGGTTCAGACATTATGCAGATATTACTGTCCATTCTCTATGGTATATGGTACACATAACACTTCGAGAATTGGATCGACTCCCAACTTATGGTAAAAAACTAGAAATCATACACAAAGCTGGGAACAAAACAGCTGAGATATTGAATAAGAACAGATGAGATCAGATGGAGCTCAACATGGCTCCAAGGCATAAATCATTTATCACATACATTAACGACACTGTTGAAATAACCAACAATCCCAGATAGCCCCCATGATCCAGCAGTTACAATATTCAAAGGATCCTGGGTTCAAGCACAACATTAGCTACTAACATCAAAAATGAGAAGTAATAACATATCTGTCAATAGACTACAATGGCATGCAATCACCTGAATATGAGAGTAGAATAAATTTCCGAAATGTTGTATAAATCACATACATCTCAGTGTCTAATATTCGGAAAATGAAACGTTCTATAGAATATTTACGTTCTAAATGCCTCTGACTTCGTTCATATCACTACATTCTGTAGATGGGTAATTTATATTTCTTACTCACCTGATAAAATCGTCCATCGTTCTCATCATAACCTCTATTGTAATCACCGTCTCCCGGGTAATTGGGCCGTCCGTACCGTCTGTTGTTATACATATACGTATTACCATATGAATCCTTATCCTGGTGGTCCCTGTTGTAATACACAGAGTCCTGTATCTGACTCCCAGCCAAACCCATACACCACACGAACACGAGCCAAAGCCTTGTCCAACTAGACGCCATCACAGACTGACAACAAAACACTCGTTCCCTCTCTCACAAAGGCCAACGCCCCATCCTACTCGCAATCTTACTTACTCCCACAGGCTGTAATACTCGTAACAGTTGCGAGCCTCAATGTGCATAACATCACAACAAGGATCAATTGGGAGTGCTAGCCTTGTGCGTTACCCAGTAGCACGAGTTATGATATCGAGTTTATCTATTGTTTCACATAAATATCACGAAACCTTATCTGTACCAGATTTCCAGATGAACTTTTAAATGTCTGTCATATTTCAGTTATTTCATACATATCACAGAGTCCTTTAACTTTATTAGTTTCAGTTTAAAACCATTACGAAAAAAGAACGCTGACATGTCAACACAACACAAGAATTACGGATTGTCGCCATAGTGTTCGTGATGGTCAAGCGCCCTCAAATGATGGCGCCAACGCACGAATACAGTGTTATGTACACAGATAATACCAACGCGGTTTACGCACAGAAGAGATCCAGTTAGACGCATTACAAATGATCTCACCAGTTAAATCGAAGGAAGTACGATAATAAGTAATGGTGAGTTTTATAGAAGTATTTATTGCATATTATTTATTTAAAGTGAAGGTGGTAGGATAAACTTTGGCGTGTTTGGATCCAGGATTACAATAAGAATATTCCACATTTAAGATGCAACAAAGTCCGTATATTTTATTAAAATCTAAATTACATCGCATTTTTGTAATTTTTATTCATTTATTTCTTTATAAAGAACGTCACAAAGTCTTACTAAGTATCAAAATTTCTCTACCAAGGACTGTGTTCATAGTATCCTGGGTCACATTCTGGTACTCAATGATTACATATCACATGTGAGAGACAGTCTTTGTAAGACGTTATCTTTGTACTAGACCTAACTGTAAGTTCATTCAGTTTGCTTCCTGTTGACATTAATTTTACACTTAATATGTGGCACATACACATAGAGAATGAGTCCTGCATATATCAGCTGGAACTACATTTCTTTGCCGTATTTCACAGAATTTGGAAAATCCATCTTTTACATTTGGATAAAAATTCTTAAATGATGAGTTTGCTTCAAGTTGCATAGAACTAACCATTTTTATTTGTGAACTGTTTTCCATGTTCTTTTACAGGATGGAAAGTCTTCTTTCCCTGACATATGTCTGCTAATTTTGTCATCAAAATATAGAGCTTCACAGTATCATCTTTTGGGATCTTCTAAAGTTTAGGATTTGGAGTAGATACAATTCCCTTAAGTTGTACAAGTTCTTGGCCTTTATAGCCATGTAGTGTGATGCTCCAAACTCTTTCTGTTTTTCTTACAGTCCAGGCCTGTGGTAATAGTGTAAAGATTTGTACCTGTTTGTTTTTTCTTGGTACTGGTTTAAAGTTTATCTTTGAATTGTTCTGTGATTTCTTACCCAGGTGTATTTTCTTTACTTTCACTTGATGTATAACATTTTTTCTTTATTACATTGGTGATTTTCTGCATATTTTTTCTTAGGATGCTTATTTCCTTGCAGGTGCTTCTCCTTAATTGGTGATTCCTCTGTAACCTGTGTGCTACTTTTTGGTATTTCAGTAACAACATTTGAAGCACTACATCTTACTCAGCTTTGTGTAGTCCATTGGCATCTCTTTGATTCCTAAGTTTTTCTATTTTTTATGTTGTGAAGGGGAGTGACTGTATGGATCTGTGGATGCTAATAGATTCTTTGTTCCGTCCTCAGATAACATATGAATATGGACGGTGGTGAAGTGATGTTGATGGGAAAATGGACTTGGAGAGATACCTGTTCCATTGCCACTTTGTTTACCATGAATCCCACATGGACTGCACTGAGCGCACACTTGGGCCTCTACAGTGAGAAGATGGTGACTGCTTCAGCTGTTGCATGGCCAAAAGAGTTTTTTTAGGCCTGTTGTTATGTATTTCATTGCAGAGAATAATTATTGAAGCAAGTATGTTGAATCAATGAATGATAATTGTTAATTCTAATTTTTCATTGTTTTATGACATATTGGTTAGGATTTGCAGATGTTGAAATTTGATTTTCAGCGCTTACTCCATTTTCTGTGTTTGGAACAGTCTTTTCCAGGCTCAGTAAATTTGGTCATTCAGGATGAAGTTTCTGCAGCTTCGGCCATCAGCATCTTCAAGAATTCTAATGCCAAGCATTTATATTCTTCACATTCAGCTACGCCTGATTTAAGGCTTATGAACATATTTGGTCTTGGTTTTGAAATTGATGAAATTTGCTGTGGGAATTATCAGTTGAAAAATCTTTCCTGTTGGAATATGGTTCTGTTGTTGAAGTTCATCATTGTCACCATTCTCGAGCAATTTCGCCGGTGTGGTGTCATTAATGAGACATACTTCTGTGTGTAATTTTATATTATTCTTTATCTCAAAAGCATATACAGTATGCTTTTCACAGTTTTTCTGTGACACTAGCTTTGTGTTTATTTAAATGTGCACTGGAATCAGGAAGGAACATCAATGCTGTTAACCATTTCTGTTCATATAGTGTTATACAGAATTTTATTTTCTTCCACTTCTCACCTGATCTTGATAATATTATATTGTTATTGCAGCTGTTCAGTGGTGGAGAGTGCATCCATCTGCATCGGCTATGAGCCCTCAGAGCAAATTGTGCCCCGAGAGGGTAGCTGGTGCAAGAGAATAAAGCATGTTTACATCAGTGAAGTTATTGTCACCCGCAATTGAAGTATATGCTTTGGTTGCGTATACACAACAGGCAGTGAGTACTAAACTTGTAGCAGCTACATACACTAGTCCCATTGTCAAGAGTAGATAGATTTGCCAGTTACTTTTCTGGTGAGGGGACAGTATTACTGCAGGATAGGATTTTTTAGTAACTGTAATGAAATACATCACTGAAGTTTTGAAGTATAATAAAATATATCATGAAATTTCCTACATAATTCGTCAGCTTTGCAGTACTCCTTAGAACCCAGTTCTCGATTTGGAACAAAGTAATTTTTGCTGTGTCCATATCATCTGTTCTCATTCTCGTATGAACAGACTTTTCTATTTTTCTCATTTTCAAATTATATATTTGCAAAGAACATTTTAGATTTAACCCCACTTATACCCATTGTACAGATTTACCTGTAACGTAACAGGTTCTGTGTGTATTGTCATGGGTAACTCAATTTTTATGCCAGTACATATTAACATCCAGAGAGCAGGGATGCTTTTCATATTGTAAAATGAATTTGTTTTCAAGTACCCCACTTATATTTAGACATTTTGCTACTTACAAACATGCACTAAAGGTATGAAACAATAGGTCACACACTGAACATTGGCTGAACTAGAATTTTCTTTTCATAACATATTTCCATTCTTTGCACCCCTATAATGTTTCTTAAATGCTTGTGCAGTGCAGGCGGGTCAGCATGTGAAATGTAGAATTTAGTCTAATTTGGCTGAATGAATGTAGGTGTGTTTTTGTCTTTTGTCAAAGTCTGCATCTTGAAGCACTCCATGCTTTGTACCTTGCTCAGTAGTGACGTCTGAAATTTAGGAGGATTCTGAGAAACAGAGTACATTTTGTCTTTATGTTGGGCACAGGAATGGAAAGGCACTGCTTACACTTTTTCAGACTACTCCCAAATTTTAAGAGAAAGTGCATATGAGGTAAAACAATACTTTTTTTGTGGCTTCTGTGGTGAGTGGCATCACTTGTGCTTTCTCTGATCTTTGGAGACCTTCTGTTGGACTCATGAAGGCTATGAGCCTATCTTTCAGCTTATGTCACAATCCCTTTTGATGCCCGAATATGAACAGAAAATAAGCCCAAGACATGAGAAGCTTTGCCCTTCTAGGGTCTGCGTGGGCTTTATGATTCTTAGGATACTACAAGGAAACGAAATGAATAAATCTCAAAAAACGCTTTTCTTTATTATGATATGAATAAAGAATACACATATTCATGCAGGGGAAAACAAAATAAGCTATGTGAAGTAAATAAACACTTATTCAAATTGACTGACTCACTTGATACATACTTCAAACTTAACTGTCAGAGTAAGTAGATGCCGAACACCTGTGTTGAAATCATCTTGTGTATCAACTGGTTCGCATTTTTCTTATAAGCTTGACTCAACTTTGTCCTTTTACAACACATCCTTAACCACGAGCATCATATTGAAATATTGCCATGAAGATCGCTTAGGTTTATCTTCTACACTGCTCCAAATCCCAGCTTCACATTTTTCTTGCACTCTTTTGGAAAATAGTCCCTGAGGTATTTCCAATTGTTTTCACTAAAACAAAGGGGATAATGTTTGTTTTCATTACTTTTTCAGGTATCTTGTTATTGGAGAATTATTTCACTCTGTAGCACGTCATTTTCGGATGGGAGTCCAGTGCAATTTCCCAGATCATTAAAAATACTTGTGTAACAATCTGGAATGTCCACCGGCTGCAGAACTTCCCGACACAGATTATCGAAGGTCTCGTTCGTTATGATTGTCACTGAAGCTTGCTCATTGCTGTCATTTAATGAGACCTCATCCTAGAAGAATCGTTCATGGCCCAAGACGAGTTTGCACTGCCCTTTAAATGCTGTGCATTGCAGAGTCCGTTTTTGATCGTTGTACATCTCACCGTTATTTGCCGTCCGTGAGCGAAGAAGTATGGGACCACACAGGGTCTATAGTGGCCCAGATGCTGTCGGGAGTTTGGTGCACAGGCTAAAGTGTTTTTCATGTGTGTCATGTGGTTGTTTTGCTGACTTCCTGCAAAACCAGTCCCTGAATCTGTCTCTCTTTGCTGACACATTCACTGACATTTTGTTGATTATGAAATGGGCTTCACACGCACATAAAGAAAATCCACTCAGCTGGCGGACACCTGAGGTCCAAGTTGCGGATCCTCGGTTGAGAAACGGTGGCCCACACAACCTGCATTATACAGATACGAGGTATTACTCTGAAACAACTGTTTGTGCTGCCAAATTATTCAGGTCATTTTCATTTAGAGAGGAGCAGCCTTGTCTTTTAATTTCAACATGCTTTAAAAGTAACGTCTTCTCTGCATAAATTTTGAACATGCCTTAATCATAGTTTTCCTACAAAGAAACTTTAAGTTAAAATATGTAATTCAGACATCATGTCCCGCACTGTAGCCGCGCGGTCGGAGGCATCATGCTCCGGACCGGCGATACGGAATGTGTGTTGGTTCGGGTCTCGGGGGAGAAGAAATTTTCTCGTGAGCTTTTGACCAGTGTATGGAACCAGTGCCAACCCAGCTAGCAATGGCTGGGGTTCGTCGTGCTGACCACACGTCACCCTATATCTGGTTGGATGATCATTCACCTTTGCTTAGGAATGTGAACGTGAGGCCAGCAGTCAAGCTAGTCGGCTTTGGCTCTCTGGAGCTGTTACACCACAGATTTAATTTTTTAATTTAATTCAGACACCATTCTGACTAAGAATTGTAGCACATAGCTTGTTTTTGTGGGAACTTTGTGATATAACCAGTGTTGAACTATAAATACTATGATGATGATGACTCTGCTGGGCTCTATGTCAACTAATGATTTATTCAAAAATCAGTTTACAGCAGTCTACACAGGTAAATTGGCAATTCCTTTCGGCGAGGTAACATTACATCCCAGAACATTCCGCGACAGCCGCATCCACTGATCGGAGGGGAGTAGTGCGGCCCCTCCCCTCCAGTGCGAGCCGTCTGCCCATTCGGCGCCACGTCACAGTACAGGTATCCCTTGCATTACGCCATCACTTTTCTTATTGTTTCTCCCTAGTCTTCAATGGCAGCCAACATTTCTTCTGTGCCAGACCCAGGTCTACCCTTCGCTGCTTCTAACTATATGCGAAGAGGTTCTGATTATTTCCTCAGTTTTGCACGTAAGAGAGCTGTGCTTTTTCGGCCAGCATGTTCTTTTCCTCTTCAGCGATGGTCGTCTTTATGCAGTCCTCCAAATTTGCAAATTGTTAAGTAAGGGCTTGCTGCTTCATCAACAGGTGGACTATTTTTCATAATTTTGCTTGTCATTTTCAGTGGCAGCCAACATGTTTTCTGTGCCAAACCCAGGTCCACCCTTCGCTGTCTCTGATGCCGGAAGTAGAACCTCTTATTCTTTCTCTACCTTTAGTCTTTTGAGTACAACTTCCTCCTTCTGTGCTGGTTTTTCAGCCGTGTTTTGCCTCTTCAGCGATGGCCACATTCTTCATGCGGTTCTTTAGATACTCAAATATTTGGCTAAGAAGGGTTGCTTCTTCATCAAAAGGCAGATCACTTTTCGTAATTTTGCTTGTCATTTTCAGTTGCAGCCAACGTGTTTTCTGTGCCAAACCCAGGTCCACCCTTCGCCATCTCTGTTGCCGGAAGTAGAACCTCTTATTCTTTCTCTACCTTTAGTCTTTTGAGTACAACTTCCTCCTTCTGTGCTGGTTTTTCAGCAGTGTTTTGCCTCTTCAGCGATGGCCACATTCTTCATGCGGTTCTTTAGATACTCAAATATTTGGCTAAGAAGGGTTGCTTCTTCATCAAAAGGCAGATCACTTTTCGTAATTTTGCTTGTCATTTTCAGTTGCAGCCAACGTGTTTTCTGTGCCAAACCCAGGTCCACCCTTCGCCATCTCTGATGCCGGAAGTAGAACCTCTTATTCTTTCTCTACCTTTACTCTTTTGAGTACAACTTCCTCCATATGTGCTGGTTTCACAGCCAATGTGTTCTTGCCTCTTCAGCGATGGCCATATTCTTCATGCCGTTCTTTAGATACTCAAATATTTGGCTAAGAAGGGTTGCTTCTTCATCAAGAAGCAGGTCACCTTTCGTGATGTTTATGCCTCATGTTCAGTGGCAGCCACCATTTCTGTGCCAGACCCATGTCTGTCTTCCACTGCTTCTAACACCAGAAGAAGAGTATCTGATTATTTCTGTTTGATTGGTTTGGTAGCCAGTTGTTCTGCATTTGGAGACAGTTGTTCTCTTCAACGACGATCACTGTCTTTGCAGTAGTCCTTCAAATTTGTTAGCTTATTTTTGCATTTGAAGTTTATTACATCTTGTGGTGATGCTCAGTTTGGAACTCATCTTGCAATGGCTTCCTATTCACTGTGCAGAAGCATCAGCATTTTTGGAGTGCTCATGTTGTAAAGTTTCAAGCAATATAACATAATTTGCTTTGATGTTTTATTATGCAAACTGTGAACTTTGTAGAGGCAAACAAGTACAGGACTAAGTTTATTAAGCTGCTGGAATATTTTTTCAGCCGATTGTACTGCTGTGTTAAGGACTGCAGAATTGAAGTTCATTTTCTTTTTCACTTGGGGCTTAGAACAGGTATGGTGTGTACTCCATATTTGATCTGCATTGTCATCTAATGCGGACTGGATCTGTGTTTCAAAGAGTCGCTGTATATCTATGTCCTCTGCACATTCGCGCATATCTACCAGTGTTTTTCTTATCAAATACTTTGTTACTCCTGCAGTGTGTAAGAAGCTTTTGGTTTTTCTAGCTTGTTAATGGCATCGTGTTTGTCAAATTATTTCGTCTGAAGTTGTTTGCTAGTCATACTGATGTCAAAGAGGGTGTTGTACCACGCATTAAGAGGAACCACAGAGATGTGTTGTACATTATTTCCTTGAATTCCTACAAGGCAGTTTTATCTTAGAATTGAATTATGATGTGGCTGCATTTCACGCAAATGATGCACTGGTGTCAAATTCTTTGTAACAGATCTCCCTTTTTTGAAAATAAGCAATAAAGTTGCGTATCTGTTTTAACGTGAGAGATAAGAAAGTCAAATGTACTACTGCCGGACCGAAAAACATTGTGTTTGTTCCCGATTTTGATCTAAACTTACGGGTAAAATTGTCTGATTTCTTTAAAAGAAACTCGCCAGCTTTCTTCATAGGCTGAGTAATTTTTTTTATTGCGAACAGTAGCTGTTTTATTTTAGTTGTACATCTGTTTGTAGATGACAAAACGCATTATAGTATTTACACACCATTGACATCTGCCGGCTATTATTACTTATACGACCTGGTTGTGAATAGTCCACTATTGTGGAAAAATTGTTTTAAGTGGTAGAGAGGCGCAAATATCCGGAGTTGGTGATGCGCCTATAAACCCACTACCACTTTACTACATGTTGAGAGAATCCCAACCAGTCAACAGCCATTATTTCATCCAGTCATATCATTAGAAGCTCTTCTGTCCATTTCATGCTCTTATCTCCAGTTGTGTTGTGATTTGAGTTAAATCCATTTGTGAGGTCTGATGGATTGAACCTTTTAAGTCTCTTAACACAATGGCTTTTCAACAAGTCTGTGACTAGTTGATTCGGATGAGTGCTTAATCTCAAGTGATATGTTTCACTGAAGTTCTTGATTTCCTCTTTCATGGAGGGTATTTTAAGATCTTGCTGAATAACCCAATTCAGTACAAACCAATGTGCATTAACAATGATTCTCAGAACTTTGGACTGGTAGCGTTCAATCTTCTCAATGTTGGAGATACTTGCCGTAACCCCAAAGTTGGCATCCGTATGTCCAAACTGGTTTTAGAATCTCCTTATATATTAGCAGTTTGTTGTCAACTGTCAGTTGGGAATTACGGCCTAAGATCCAGTACATTTGTCTGAGTTTTGCTCCTAATTGTGATCTTTTTAACCATATGTGTTTCTGCCAAGTCAGGCATCTGTCCAAGCATAGGCCAAGATACTTTGCTTCATCTGATTGTGGCAGTTGATGATCGTTAAATATTACTGGCGAGACATGTTTCTATTTTCATGGTGAACGTCACATGAATGGATTTTGTTTCATTGGCCTTAATTCGCCAAATTTTCAACCAATTTTGGGTTTTATCAAGATTTTCTTGGAGTAGGCTGGAGGCTATTTTTGGGTCGCTATGGGAGGCTAAAACGGCGGTATCACCTGAAAAGGTCGCTACTGTGGTTTGTCTTAGTGTCAGCAAGTCCGCTGTATACAGTAAGTATAAGTCTGGCCCTAGGATGCTGCCTTGTGGGACACCTGATTCAATCGGTATGAGAGGTGTTTGTTTTTCTTGATATTTCACATAGAAGTGTCTATCACTCAAGTATGATTTGAGGATCTGATAATAATTGCAGGGAAAATTCCACCTTATTTTAAAGAGCAGTCCTATATACCAGACTTTATCAAAAGCTTGGCTAATGTCCAGAAAGGCAACTGAACAATATCTTTTTACGTGTAGGTCTTGGTTGATCTTATTTACGACTCTCTGAACTTGTTCTATTGTGCCATTTTCCTGTCTGAAACCGAATTGATGGCCTTCTATAAGTATTGGTTTTAGTTTTTGAAGCAATATTTTTGCGAATAACTTTGACATGTTTGGTAACAGACTGATAGGTCGATATGATGTAATTTCACCTATCAATTATTTCTCGGAATAGTTCCCAGTTTGTTCTTAGCTATAATAAAACAAATAAATAAATGAATGACGATACAACGGACAGTGGAAAGGAACAAAGAAGTATGAGAAATATCCTTATTCTAATGGCCTGTGTTCCTGCATGTGCACACCACTCGCCTACCAGGCTGCCTAATGCTACTTTGAATTATTTGGTTCATTAGTAATGGTTTTGTTTGATGTTAAATAGTTGGTGACCTTATAATGATTATGTGAAAACTGTGGGCAAACTGCTTGGCGCGTGAGCGACCTGTAAGGGCGGGTTGTAATGGCCTTGGTGGAAGTCGGCCACGCTTTGCCAAAAATATTTATCTCTGGTTTCATTTCTGGATCGCAAGTCAAATCGTGGAATCGAGTCCATTTTCAAATACATCGTCGATTACTAGTAGAGTAGCTTTCAAGTTCCTGCGGTTGTGATGTCAACCACCCAAGTTGCTTGCCTATTGCAATACTTCACTGCTTATTTTGGTTCGTGTTCATTGAGACAGCCTGTCTTGTAAAAGGTTATAAGTTGTAACAGTTTGAGATTTCATGTAGAAACTAAGCCTCCACTTTGTGTCTGATTTCAGTGTTGTGATTTTTTTATCCTGTTGATACCGAGCTTGTGATCCTGAAATAAGCTCTGTAATCATAGTCTTGTGTGAGGAATAAAAATTCTGCTGCTAATTTGTATTTGTGCGCCATTTAAATTTTGTACAGCAACAGTGATTATTATACAGCTCATTGTCTTTGCTTGAAAGAGGTGATAAATATGCGTATAAT